TAGCGACACTGTGTTTTAATGCGTTATTAACTGCTAAGCAATTAAATCAGATGAACTATGCAAATAGCCTCCTTCTCCCCAAGTCTTCCCTCTGTCACCCCATAATATATGATCTATGTGGCAGATAAGAACCATTTGGCCCATCTAGTCTGCCCAATGTTCTAAATACTTTCATTAGTCCCTAGTCATATCTTATAGTTAGGATAGCCTTATGCCTATCCCCCGCATGCTTAAACTCCTTTACTGTGTTAACCTCTACCTCCTCAGCTGGAAGGCTATTCCATGCATCCACTACCCTCTCAGTAAAGTAATACTTCCTGATATTATTTTTAAACCTTTGTCCCTCTAATTTAAGACTATGTCCTCTCGTTGTGGTAGTTTTTCTTCTTTTAAATATAGTCTCTTCCTTTACTGTGTTGATTCCCTTTATATATTTAAATGTTTCTATCATATCCCCCCTGTCTCGTCTTTCCTCCAAGCTATACATGTTAAGATCCTTTAACCTTTCCTGGTAAGTTTTATCCCGCAATCCATGAACCTGTTTAGTAGCCCTTCTCTGAACCCTCTCTAAGGTATCAATATCCTTCTGAAGATACGGTCTCCAGTACTGTGTACAATACTCCAAGTGAGGTCTCACCAGTGTTCTGTACAATGGCATGAGCACTTCCCTTTTTCTACTGCTAATACCTCTCCCTATACAACCAAGCATTCTGCTAGCATTTCCTGCTGCTCTATTACATAGTCTGCCTACCTTTAAGTCATCAGAAATAATCACCTCTAAATCCCTTTCCTCAGATGTTGAGGTTAAGACTCTCTCAAATATTCTGTACTCTGTCCTTGGTTTTTTTTACGTCCAAGATGCATTATCTTGCACTTATCCACATTAAACATCAGTTGCCACAACTCTGACCATTTTTCTAGTTTACCTAAATCATTTGCCATTTGGCTTATCCCTCCTGGAACATCAACCCTGTTACATATTTTAGTATCATCAGCAAAAAGACATACCTTACCATCAAGACCTTCTGCAATATCACTAATAAAAATATTAAAGAGAATGGGTCCAAGTACAGATTCCAATCTTCAGATAGGTAAATCATAATAACCAACAGATATTAATATAGCAGGTTTATTTAGTCCAGTTAAATTGTGTACAAGTGTAAGACAACAAACCTATTTTCTTTTTAACTATAAAGTCTGGACTGTCACATTAACAAGATTTGTCTTATGTAAAGAGATAAAAGAGAAAAAAATATATAAAATATAAATGCTGATCTGTCAGTAATGGTTTATTAGTTATTTTCCCACAATTCACTTCAGTACACTGAAGGGTTAAATATGCTGCCGAATGCCAGCTCTCTAAATAGAAGACTGCGCTGATTTCTAGATAAGGCTCAGGAATATGGTAATATGACATTTTTTTGTATACTTTTGGGGATTTTCTGGCTAACGTGAACCATTGAAATGTCAGAAATCAATAGCCTGATCTGCTGTTCATGCCACGGATAGATGCCTGAATGCCACTTGCCCAGCCCAGAGGCCGGTGTAAGAATGTACACAGTTAGCTGAGCTACCAATCCGTAAATGCCAAGCAGTGACTGACACATGCCAGCTGTGCAACAAGTCCTGGGTGTTTCTGATCCAAAAACTGACAAGAATGAATTGGCTGGCACATTTCCCAGACATGCCTACTCTCTCCAATCATAGCCAAAACCAGGGGTGACTAAGAGGTCCCCCGGCTAATGTAAAGTACTGGGCAACCTCTGGGCCACCCCTGTAAGAGACCATATAATATTTCTCTCTGCATTACTAGACTGATGTGAATTAAAACCATTAATCTGCGCCAAGAAAATGAATACACTGACGGAAACTGCAAGTTTTGATAATTACACAAAAACCTACAGTTACAGAATCACACAGAGAAAGTCCACTTTTCATAGTTTTATGGTAGCCACAATGTATCACTGTGAGTTAAATAATTATTTTACAGCTTATTGTTCTAATAAAATCCATTGAATTACAGTTTTTTGTACATTCTTCAATTTTTATTTGTCTTTTTGCACCTTTTTTCCTGACAATTCGCAAATTCCATCAAATGAGTGACATTACCAGGAAAGAAAAGGCGCGTTCACATTTTATGCATTAAATAGGAGAACATGAAAGCTGCGTAGCTGTCACAGAAAACATGCCACTCTGACAGTGACAGTAACATTTGTTGCAAATAATATTTTCAGATTTGCTCCGCTCTTTTTTTTTATACAAAGGAAGTGACAAATTTGTGAACCAAAAAAAACAGTTACATAATTGGCGAGAAAATTACAAAAGTGAGGCAGCAAGGAATTTGAGCAAAAAGGACATAAATAGATGTGAATATAAAAAGTTCCTGAAAAGTCCTATTTAAAAGAAACCATAAGCCCCTTAGTGTCTGTGTTTATGTGTAAAAGATTCCTGCCAAAAATACATCCCTGCGCGTCAGCTGTGGCAAAACAGAAAGGCAATCCAATTATTATATTGCTATTTTGTAGCAGCTTATGTTTAATAAGGTGCACCATTTTTATATGACTTTTATGCCCGCCATCCTGTATCTGACATTACACTCTGTGAAGAAATGTTGCAAACGTGAGAAAGATATATCAAATATGTAAAAAAAAGAAAAAAAAGAAAAAGAAAAAAAAGGCTAATGTTTCGACTTTCTTATACATATCTCAGAAACAGAAAGGTACAGCTATGGCCAAACAGATCGCTTTGTGATAGAGATTGTGCTATTATTTAAACATAACTACCAAACTGTGTTGTAACTGCCAATCTCAACAATTCCCATGGGAACTGCTCGGGGTGAGCAGTGCATGATGGGAGTTGAAGTTTATAGAGGATGGAGAGCCAGATCTTTGCCATTGCTGGTCTTTGCTAGGTATCCACACTGCACTAATACCTCCCAACATTTCAAATAGACAATGATGGACAATTTGATTTTTAGGGTGTACTTGGGGGTGTGGCCAGGGGCGGGGCTGTTCTGATACATTTTAGGTTATTTGCTAATAACAATTTATACAATTAAAATGTAATCTAGAACCAGAACAATGTATCTTATATACAAAGCCTGATTTTTAAACATATTTATTGTAGTTTAAAGACACATTACTGGGAGTATTATTGCTGTGGAGCTCTGTGATACACTCAGACACATTACTGGGAGTATTATTGCTGTGGAGCTCTATGATACACTCAGACACATTACTGGGAGTATTATTGCTGTGGAGCTCTGTTATACACTGAGACACATTACTGGGAGTATTATTGCTGTGGAGCTCTGTTATACACTCAGACACATTACTGGGAGTATTATTGCTGTGGAGCTCTGTTATACACTCAGACACATTACTGGGAGTATTATTGCTGTGGAGCTCTGTGATATACTCAGACACATTACTGGGAGTATTATTGCTGTGGAGCTCTATGATACACTCAGACACATTACTGGGAGTATTATTGCTGTGGAGCTCTGTTATACACTCAGACACATTACTGGGAGTATTATTGCTGTGGAGCTCTGTTATACACTCAGACACATTACTGGGAGTATTATTGCTGTGGAGCTCTGTTATACACTCAGACACATTACTGGGAGTATTATTGCTGTGGAGCTCTGTTATACACTCAGACACATTACTGGGAGTATTATTGCTGTGGAGCTCTGTTATACACTCAGACACATTACTGGGAGTATTATTGCTGTGGAGCTCTGTTATACACTAAGACACATTACTGGGAGTATTATTGCTGTGGAGCTCTGTTATACACTCAGACACATTACTGGGAGTATTATTGCTGTGGAGCTCTGTTATACACTCAGACACATTACTGGGAGTATTATTGCTGTGGAGCTCTGTTATACACTCAGACACATTACTGGGAGTATTATTGCTGTGGAGCTCTGTTATACACTCAGACACATTACTGGGAGTATTATTGCTGTGGAGCTCTGTTATACACTCAGACACATTACTGGGAGTATTATTGCTGTGGAGCTCTGTTATACACTCAGACACATTACTGGGAGTATTATTGCTGTGGAGCTCTGTTATACACTCAGACACATTACTGGGAGTATTATTGCTGTGGAGCTCTGTTATACACTGACACATTACTGGGAGTATTATTGCTGTGGAGCTCTGTTATACACTCAGACACATTACTGGGAGTATTATTGCTGTGGAGCTCTGTTATACACTCAGACACATTACTGGGAGTATTATTGCTGTGGAGCTCTGTTATACACTCAGACACATTACTGGGAGTATTATTGCTTTGGAGCTCTGTTATACACTCAGACACATTACTGGGAGTATTATTGCTTTGGAGCTCTGTTATATCCTCAGACACATTACAGAGGGGCAGAGGGATTAAATATGGACACTTGGGAGGTCTGTGCTGTGATAATCTTTACAATTTCTGCAAAGCTACACAATGTAACACAACCTAGCTGTCATTGTGAGCAGCCTGTCTAACATCCCTGTATGTTATATAGAGCTCAGTGCTCCCTGTAACAGATCATTATCACATTAATCAGAATGTTTAACCCCTTCATTGCCTGGCTCCCACACAATGCATTATAACACTCCAGCTGTCACATGCTCTCAGTACCTGTTGCCCGATGATTTATTTTATTTTGTTTCAATATAAACAGGGGGATCTGTTTAATGATCCAAGGATCCAGGGGTGACCGAAAGGTAGGTCCCCACCATTGCTACAACTACAACTCGCACAATGCTTTCCCAGCTTTGAGGCTAGTTCTGTCACTTGCCCTGAACACAAACCACCGGCTGTTCTGTTTGGAGTCAGCAGCCTGATCTCCAGCCCGGGGTGGACTGCAACTCCCAGCATGCAGTGTGCCTGAGAGTGAATGAGAGTTGCAGTCAGAATATGCAGAGCCTGGACTTCATGTTTGGACATTACAGAGCACATGGGGCAGACACAATAGGTAATAAAGGTCCACTTACCCAGCCCTGGCACAAACGTATTGAGGAACAGGCAGATCACAGCCACAGGGAATGGCATGTAGGGGATAGCCGCTCTCAGGGGCCCCTTCTTCTCTCTGACCTGCACCACGACCCCACTGGCAGAGGTCCCCCTGCCCACCACGTCCCCCTCCTTGATATCCATGGTCTGAGCTCAGGCTGGGGCTGGCAGGAGAGGAACCTGGAGTGAGAGCAGGAGAGGGAGCAGGGAATGCTGTGCTCTCCTTCTTAACTCCCTCTCACTCTATCATTCACTATCTCTCTCACTCTATCCCCCCTTCTTTACTCTATCACTATCCCTCCTTCTTTCCTCTATCACTATCCCTCCTTCTTTCCTCTATCACTATCCCTCCTTCTTTACTCTATCACTATTCCTCCTTCTTTCCTCTATCACTATCCCTCCTTCTTTACTCTATCACTATCCCTCCTTCTTTATTCACTCTATCTATCCCTCAATACTCCCTGTCACACACTCGATCTCTCTCTCTCTATCTCACTCGTAGACTGTCTCTGTCACACATTCTTACTCTTTCTCTCTCTCTCTCTCTCATTCACACACACACACACTCTCTCTCTCTCTCTCTCTCTCACTCACACACACCCACTCCCTTTCTCCACACTCACACTCCCTCTTTCTCCTGTCCAGATGTAAAGGTTATTTCTCTCACCTTTCTTCTATGTCACTCACTTTATCTCTGTGGCTCTCCCTTCTCTCTCCTCACTCTCATTTTCTTTTCTCTGTCTCCCTCGCTCTGTCTCTTTCTTGTTCTCTCTCTACCTCTCTCTATGTCTCTTCCTCTCTCTCTCTCTGCCTCCCTCTGTCTCTCTCCCTCTCTTTATTTCTCTTGTTCTCTCTCTCTCTGTCTCTTGTTCCCTATCTCCCTGTCCCTCTCTCTCTCTGACTCTCTTCCTCTCCCTCTTGTTCTCTCTCTCTGTCTCTTGTTCTCCCCCTCTGTCTCTTGTTCTCTCCCTCTGTCTCTTGTTCTCTCCCTCTGTCTCTTGTTCTCTCTCTCTGTCTCTTGTTCTCCCCCTCTGTCTCTCTCCCTCCTTTTCTCTCCCTCTCTCAGAGCAGATTGAATACAGAAAAGCGCAGCTCCTACAGGCAGAGTATAAATTAAAGGCACAGCCTTCCCCATTATCCTTTTATTTAACATCAATAATAATTGCTGTGGATTCTGAGTGTCTTAATGGCATTTCCTATCCATCTAATAATAAATACTGATTACAGGGAAAAAAAAATGTATATCCATATTTGATCAATTTTTAAAATTAAAATAGCATTTAAAAAAAAAAAAAACAGCAAACAAAACCCACCACATATTCTGCACAGTTGTACAATCTCTGTTTAGTGATGATTTTTAGCTATATAACACAGACACATTCAACAGAGCTCAGCAATACCAATATTATTGGTTTATTTTATAAATAGTTTTAGCACCAACAAATATTTCAGAGCTGTACAATTGTATCTATTATTTTTATTCAGCCTCCACGCACACATCCATTCACCCATACACCTGCCCACCCATCCATTCATCCACCCTCCCACCCACCCATGCACGCATTCATTCACCCATACACCCGCCCACCCATCCATTCATCCACCCACGCACGCACGCACGCACGCACGCACACATCCATTCACCCATACACCTGCCCACCCATCCATTCATCCACCCTCCCACCCACCCATGCACGCATTCATTCACCCATACACCCGCCCACCCACCCATCCATTCATCCACCCTCCCACCCACCCATGCACGCATTCATTCACCGATACACCCGCCCACCCATCCATTCATCCACCCACCCACACACGCATGTTTCCATTCACCCATACACCCACTCACCCTCCCACTTATCTATTCATTCATTCACCCACCCAACCATCGATTCATCCACCCTCCCACCCACTCATCAATCTACCCACGCACCCATCCATCAATCCACCCATCCATCTACCCACCTGCCCACCCATCAATTCATCAATCCACCCATCCAATCATCTGTCTATCTATCCATCCACCCACCCACTCATCCATCCATCCACTCACCCACCCACCCACTCACTCACCCATCCATCCACTCACCCATTCACCCACCCATCCATCCACTCACCCACTCATCCAGCTAGCCACCCGCCCATCCAGCCAGCCACCCACCCATCCATCCAAATACTCACCCACGTCTCCACCCACCCAACCAAATACCTACCCACTAACCCATTCATCCATGCACCCACCCACCCACCCACTCACTCACCCATCCATCCACTCACCCACTCATCCAGCCAGCCACCCACCCATCCAACCAGCCACCCACCCACCCATCCATCCAAATACTCACCCACTAACCCATCCATCCATGCACCCACCCACATATTCATCATCTGAACCCAACACCCACCCATGGACCCATCTATCAACCCATCCATCCATTCATCCATCCACCTACCCACACACACATTCATCCATCCACCTACCCACACACACATCCATCCATCCACCTACCCACACACACATTCATCCATCCACCTACCCCCACACACATTTATCTATCCACCTACCCACACACATTCATCCATCCACCTACCCACACACACACACATTTATCCATCCACCTACCCACACACACATTCATCCATGCACCTACCCACACACACATCCATCCATCCATCCACCTACCCACACACACATTCATCCATCCACCTACCCACACACACATTCATCCATTCATCCATCCACCTACACACACACATTCATCCATCCACCTACCAACTCACACATCCATCCACCTATCAACACACACATCCATCCCCCTACCCACACACATTCATCCATCTACCAACACACACATCCATCCCCCTACCCACACACATTCATCCATCTACCAACACACACATCCATCCACCTACCCACACACACATTTATCCATCCACCTACCCACACACACATCCATCCAACCACCTACCCACACACACATTTATCCATCCACCTACACACACTCACACACATTCATCCATCCACCACACACACACACATTCATCCATCCACCTACCCACACACACATTCATCCATCCACCTACCCCCACACACATTTATCTATCCACCTACCCACACACATTCATCCATCCACCTACCCACACACACATTTATCCATCCACCTACCCACACACACATCCATCCAAACTCACCCACACACACATTTATCCATCCACCACACGCCACACACACATTCATCCATCCACCCACCCACACACACACATTCATCCATCTACCCACACACATTTATCCATCCACCTACCCACACACATCCATCCAACCACCTACCCACACACACATTTATCCATCCACCTACACACACACATTCATCCATCCACCTACACACACACACATTCATCCATCCACCTACCCACACACACATTTATCCATCCACCTACCCACACACACATTCATCCATCCACCTACCAATACACACATCCATCCACCTACTCACACACACACACATTCATTCATCCACCTACCCACACACACATTCATCCATCCACCCAACCACACACACATCCATCAACCCATCCATAGCACCAACATACTCTGAAGTGCAGAACAATGTCTAATTTATACATTTAATTCTTTAAGACCAACTTACTTCTAATATCAGTACACTATCTGTATGTCTGTCTATCTATTATAAAATAACTTGGTTAGTATGCTATATTTATCAAATGTTAAAATAATGTTTTGTTTTTTCTCCCTTTGCCTGAAAACCAGAGAGCATTACTTTAGGTGAACCATAGTGTCTTATTGGGCGCAATAATGTGTGGCTATTAATATATGCACAGAGTGTCATATTACATAACTGTTAGTTTACTGTGATTGGAGGTGTTAAAAACAGAAACAAAATTTGTGAAATAAACAGAAAACACATTTTTCGGGTGAGCGCGTACAGGACAACTAGGTGTTTTATTGAAAATGCAGTTTTTATTTATTCACAATAAATAGCAAGGTTAAATAAACATCGGGTTTTTATCATTCAGAGGGATATGTTAATTCACCGAATTCCAAACTGGAATGAATTGTATTGATCTGAAAGATAAATGGCAACATTTTGGCAAATATAGCAGACTGAGAAATTTCCGAGTTGTATTATAATAGATGGCTTTTCGTGCCCGAAATTTGAAATTTGGTTTACAGTTTGCTACAGTTCCATGTTTTAGTTAACCTTGATAGTTTTACATTTGCACTGTTGAACTTTTACCCCTGTGCTAAATTGGTGTGAATAATACAGTAAATATGGTAACTTAAAGAACTTTAACTTAAAGGGACCCTCCAGACACACAGACCACTTCTGCCCATTGGAGTGGTCTGGGTGCCAACTCCCACCACCCTTAACCCTGCAAGTGTAATTCTTGTAATAAACTATTCTAGTTGCTGTCTATCAGACAGCCAGTAGAGCGACTTGTGTGTTCTTAACACGAAAAGTCTGTTATACTACGCTGGATGTCCTCACGCTATACATGAGAACCTCCAGCGTCGCCGGAATCCCCACAGGAAAACACTGAATAATGCTTTCCTATGGGGAGGTCTAGTGGGTGAGCTCGGGCATAGCCGCGCATGCGCATTAGGTCTCCCCCGCTGGCTGACGTTGGCGGGGAGTAGCGTGGGCGCAGCCTGACCCAGCGCCGAGGGACATCAGCGCTGGATTCAGGTAAGTCACTGAAGGGGTTTTAACCCCTTAGCAACATGGGATGCGGGGTGGGAGGGAGAGGGGCACTGCAGGAAAACGGATATGTTTTCCTGGCACTGGAGAGTCCCTTTAATTAAACCATTTTAGTGTATAGATCATGTCCCTGCAGTATCACTGCTCAGTTAAATCACGTTTGTTTCTGTCTATGCAGCCCTAGCCACTCATCCCCTGTGACTCACACAGCCTCTATGGAAAAAAAATCTTTCATTTCCAGTTAGCACAGTGTGTTTAAATTAGAAGTTTTAATTACAGCATATATATAGCAATGTTCTGCTGTCACAGCATGTATATAGCAATGTCCTGCTGTCACAGATTATTAAGCAAAAGTTTAAACAGATTTCCATACAGTTAATATGTAGATAACAATGCAAGAACGCCAGCTTGTGTGTCATAATT